TTCTGACTAACATAGAAAGTTTTATTATTAATCCCACTTTCCTGCTCCTTCCCCGGGTCCTGTGATAGTTTTACTGCTCAGGGGGCACTTCGCTTTTGTTATTCCTGTTGGATGTTGGCTGTTGACAAACACTCCGGACGCCACCCCATGTGAAGGGCAATATATAAATGCAAGTTGTTGTTGTTGAAAAGAAAAGGTAAACCTTTAAAATATATTAGTTGAAATATTAAATCATCCTTTCACTTTCTCGCTCTTGTGTTTTTAAAAAAAGTGTTCTCCCTCTGTGAGTTCCCTTGTTCCACACCCCGTGCCTTGGCTGGGAGGATGCAGAAGGGACCCCATCCTCTGTGGAGCCAACAAGACTGAACGATCTGAGAACAGCTGGATTCTGCTCTTCCCCCCTCGCTGCCCTCCTCTCTCCCCTAATGGAGAGAGCATTTGACTTCCATTTCGCGCATCTCATTGATACCCAGCCAATTAGGCAACGTTTGGGAAGCAGAGCCTTTCAATGAATTAATACAGAATCGAAAGCATCGGCAATACTTTTTGGGACGAGTAAAGAGGATCCACTTTTTGTGCCTATAGCTGTAGAAACAGAGAGCAGACCACAACAGAAGCCAAACAACCCTCAGGTCCCAGATACGTTAAGATAAGTTAAGTTAAGAATGTGAACTGTTTTGGGGGAGTTGGTTAGAACACAGTGACTGTGGCACTTCCAGACACATTCCAGTGGGAGTCAGTCATTGAGGGTTTGCACAGCTGGATCGCAAATCATCATCTAATATGATCAGGCCAGACAAAACCCAAGGGCAATCTCTGCAGACCTCTCTGGTGTGTCTCCCGATAGCTTTACTTATACATTTTCCCCAGAACACCGGGGCTCGCAGCTGTTGATATTTGGAACAAATCCAGACCCTGAGAAACTACTTCCAAAATTCACAAAATGTGCACCATTAGTGTGGTGCCCATCAGTGATGATGTGTGGTGCCCATCAGTGAAGGTGTGCGTGGTGCCCATCAGTGATGGTGTGTGTGGTGCCCATAATAATAATAATAATAATCCTTGCATTTGATATAGCGCTTTTCACGTCGGGAGGACGTCCCAAAGCGCTTCACAAAACACACTGTAAAGTGAATTGACTGTATATTTGTGGGCGAACGCGGCAGCCAATTGCGCACAGCAATGTCCCACAAACAGTCGTAGATTGAAAATGACCAATTTGTTATTGTTTTTGGTTTTGGAGGGATTATTATTAGGCTCTGTGTGGAGTAAGGAAACTTGCCCAAGGTTTCGCCCTCTGCCTGGGATTGAACTCAGGTCTCTCGCTTGCAAAGCGAGTGCTCTAACCACTGAGCTACAGGACTCCACAGTGATGGTAATATGTCTTTGCTGCTCACTGACCTTGCAAATGCCAGCTCATCATTAACATTAACCGAGCCAAACGCCGACTGGAATATTTTTTTGACCTGTAACAGTCGAATGCTGTGCCTGATTCAAAAGTCTTAAACGTTTCTGTAAACCGAGGCCAGAATCAAAATAAATAGGAAAAAGTTGAGATCAGAGCGGGAAAAAACCTGTATTTAATTAATGGTTCGGCAGTAAAACAGCTGCAGGCCCACTGGTGAGACGGACACCGCCTGTCAGACAATCAGCAAATGAGTTTCCCTGAATAATATTCCTCGGGCCATGCGAAGGCAGCTAATTGATTAAAATCTGAAGACTGAAGTCAGCTAGAGCAGAGGGAATGGGATCTCCTGTGGTTTACAGGGTTATACACAAGCTGAGAGAGCAGCTCTGTGGTCTGCGAGAATGAAGGGCTTGGCAGGTGTGTTACCTGTGTCAGCTTTGTTCCAGTAAAACGGCTTTATTAGGGGAAAATCAATTCATGTTCTTGAGCAAGTCCTACTGAAACTGCGAGACATTAAACTAATTTTCTTGTTTGGCGGTTTGATTGTTGAGGCATTTAGGTGGAGGGCCAAGGTTATTAATGCAGAGGTAAGAGAGGACATGTTAATCTTGGTGGGAGAGGAATGTAGAAATGAAGATTAAGGCGTGTGAGGAGGTGTAGACTTGCAATCCAGCTAAGAAGGAGTTAGTGTGGGAGACCATTTGATGCATCTTTGATCGCTGTGTTGGTTTAAGGTATATCTGCAGCATAATGTGTTTCTGTCAATAAAACTTGATATTAGCACAGAGATGGCCTGCGTGGCTTTCAGTATATGTGACTTGCACCTCACTACCATCGTAAATAGATTTGCCTCATATCTCATTTGCAACTGTAAGCATTATGGTTTCTAAAGTTTGCACTTGAAGGAAAGTTTTAATTCAAAGTACGCTTCTCTTTGAGACAGGAGAGGCAACAAAGAGCAACAAAGAAGCAGACAGTACAGACTTTTGATATACGAGGAGTTTATGTATATTTTAAAGGAATTTCCTCTTAATCCTTAATTAGTATCCCTGTCACCTCTCCGCCAGAAGGTTGTGGTTCAAACCCCACGTTGAGACATTGAGAGTTTACACTCCAGCTCCAGCATTGAATTATTGAATTGTCTTGAGATGCCGTTCTTTGTGTGAGACATTAAACTTAGGCCCTGGCTTCTGCTCAGGTGGATGTTAAAGATCCCATGGCACTATTCGAAAAGAGAAGACTTTTTCCCAGTGTCCTGGCCAACAATCCCTCAGATAAAACTGCTCTTTCACTGCATAGCTGTTTGTGGAAAATTGCTGCATGCAAATTAGCTGCTGCATTTACCTGCAAGATACACAGTCACTACATTTTAGTGAATCTTGTGAAGCACTTTGAGACATTTTGACAATGTGATAAGGTTCTGGATCAAATGCAAGGATTATTATAATATTTTCCCACTCGACACCGCCACAAAAGATATCCAGCCTTAAGCAGTGTTACAGGGTTTTCGAATGGCAATGTACAGCATCTAGCTTTATTTCAGCCGTGACAAAAAAGTTCAGTAAATGTTGACTGGGAACAGATGTTTAAGTGTAGTCTTTGAGGCCAGACAGCAAACCTGCCAGCTGTGTGTAAAGAATGTAAATGCAAAGTCTGTCATTTCAGTTTGTTCCCTTTCATTTGATCAACACTTGTAACTGTGCAGTGTGTGTTAAAGTAAATGTGTGTGTGTTGCTCTGCAACACTCCGTGCGAAGGGCGCTGTATAAATGCAAGCTGGTGTGTGTGTGTATTTGTGCGCATGCTGTTTTTTGTGTTTGAGCTGCACGTATGCAGTGTGAATCATTGGTTTTGTCAGTGAATTAATAATAATTGTTGCATTTGATATAATGTTTTATCATATTGTTGTGACGTCACAAAGCACTTCACAGAATGTATTGTAACGTGAATTGACAATATGTTGTGGGTGAAACGCAGAGGCCAGTTACACACAGCAGTGACCCACAAACATGGATTTGAGTGACCACATTATTATAATTTTTGTACATGACAGCTCTTTCATCTGAAATTTTACATATTCAGACAGACTAATAAAGGCGTTGCTGCCAGCACTGTTCTTGTTGAATGGGTTGAGGAGGGTTTGCCGACAGAGGGAAGAGCTAGTTTCATGACCCAAAGTGCTACCTTGTGGCTGTCTGCTCAGGTGGTTGTACAAACATTCTCACTTTACTGAAGAGTAAATCCTCTATGGTTGTTCAATCCCCCAAGTGTCATGGACTGACTGAGGTGTGATCCTGTAAACTTTATTACAGTCTACTTTTATTGGCCTTTCTACCACCCATCAGGTTGGGACTGATATCACAAGCTCCAGTTTGTTGTTAACCTAACGTGATGTTTAGTGACGAGTCTTTTAAAAAGTAAATACAAATCATCTTCATCTTCACTTTCTCACCCAGACCCGGGATGTGGAGAACTTTAATTATTGCGAGTCAAGCAATTTGACGGAATTGCAGGCTAATTTATTTAATGGTCCTTGTCTCATTAAAAAATCTGGCAAGTGCTATAGCTTTACACAGAACAGTTGCAGGAATTTTGAACTTTAAGTGATGTCCTGGCTAGACTCCCAAGTGCAGCTGGTTAGAGTAGATATTTTCATTAAGTCAAGGCCAGAGTATGAGAGAGTCTGGTTTTGGCTTTCTGAACTCATGACTCTCGCACAAAGCCAACTTCAACGCTTGGAAAGTTGTCCGATGACTATAAGGCCAAATGGAATTATTGTCCATTAAATCGTCAACACTTCCCCTCACCTGGAGGCTAGAAAACCTCAAAACGGTATGTGCAATCGGTTTGGAGCTAACTTCGATGATTAGAGATGTTGAAAGCTAAATTTGTAGTCAAAACACCACCCAATTCAGACAGCAATTTAATTGCAAAGAATGTCTGGAATGCAGTAGTCTACAATGCTACCACATACAAAATTATGGGTTTCTATGGAAAAGCACATCACCGACATCTAGTGGCAGAAAACAGCCATCTGGTGGCAGAAATGTCTGTGGACATGTCTCTTTTAAATCATGTTTTTTTTGCTTCGGGGTTTTCTGTGGGATTCATAGATTCACATCGTTTGTTTGGCAGAAATAAGCCAATTGGCCCATCTGGTCTATGCCGATTCCAAATGATGCAAGCATTGAATTTCTTGAATCTTTACAGATATGTATATATTCAGCAGTGACTCTGTATTAAGAATAATAATCCTTGCATTCGATACACCATATCAAACTCCTCAAAGGTGCTACAGTTTGCCATGAAGTGCAGTGACTATTTGTATGCAGGTGAATGCATGCACCTACAAAACAGATATAAGAACCAGACTTCAAATCATAATGGAAAATTCTTGAGTGTAAAGTGAACCACTGTTATGTAACTAGCAATGTAACTAGCAATGCTACAGCAAAAGGCAAGGACGAACTGTCTACATCTGTTTTCTGGGGAATTGCCCAGGAGGCCATACTCTAGTGTAAGCTCCTCATGGACTGACTGGCTGAGCTAAGCTGAACCCTGTAATTCTAACCCATTTCTGTCTTGGTTCCCAGACTTCATTGCGATTGTCAACACAACACCTGTGGAGGGTCTTGTGACCAGTGTTGCCCGGGTTACAATCAGCTTCAGTGGAAACCAGCTACAACAGACAGCGCTAATGAATGTGAAGGTTTGGAGCCTCCATTATTGTGTGTTTAAGAATCATGAATAAGTCGCTCACCTTTTCTTTGCAAGTTACGTAACACAGTTGGGGGTCGCATTGCATTTCTTCCCACCTGAGGACTATGTTCTGCCCTCACGTACACACCCCCACAAACTGACCTGCTTTCACAACACGCACACACTGAGATCTGCCCTCACACAGAGGCGGGAGACACTGGAATCACTTGAGTACCTGGTCACTAGGCTCAAGCCAGAGAGCCCATCATGTCACCTGGTTTAAGTACCAGGTCTGCATTGTCCTTGATGATTTGGGGACCTAGAGTTTGGGGGAGGGGAGGGGGACAACCCTCGTTCCCTTAAGGAATGTTTCAGTCTAAATTGGTTTAAAGGAGGTGAGTGGAGCTTAACCTCGCTCACCAAAATAAAAATAAATAAACACCAGTATAGCTAGCTGGGTCGAATGACCTGTTTGCACGCTGTGATTTTTCGATGTGGTTCTATGTAAGACTAATCATCTTGTGTTTACTCCCACCCACAGCCTGCAATTGCAATGGCCACGCATTCAACTGCATGTATGACCCTGAGGTTGATAAACATAAAGGCAGCCTGAATACTGTTGGCCGTTTTGTAGGGGGCGGTGTGTGTATTAACTGTCAGGTGAGCATCTCTAGTGAACATTACACTGTGTGACCTCTTTATATTTCTCATTCAGCCAAACAACCATAGGAATTGTGCCCATTGTGCCTGTGCTGGGCTCATGAAAGAGCAATCCTTTCAGTCTCACTTACGGTACTTTTACTCGTTGGAGGTGAATACGGTTCAATTTGCTTACAGCAATGTTCCATAATACAAAGGAACTGAGTTCACACTGTAGGAGGCAGTTTGAGTGGCATTGAATAAGGAGAGTCAGAGTGGAATGGTGATTATAAATAATAATAATACTTACATTTGTTTTAGTGCCTTTAATGTCAGGAGGACATTTCAGAGCCTGTCATTTCTCTCCCAGAATTTACTGTAAGGTCGAGTGTTGCAGTATGTTGGTCCGAAGGTTCATTTGTCTTACAACATATTGCTGTCTCCTCGTATGGAGAGGAGAGTGAGTGCAAGCCAAGTGTTAAAACAATTCCTATTTTATCTTCAGCACAACACCACTGGGGTCAACTGTGGGCACTGTGCGACTGGCTATTACCGGACACCAGGTGTGCCCATAGAGTCTGTGGACGCCTGTATTCGTGAGTTCTTTATTTTCATTGTGTGCGCTCTTTCCATTTGAACTTTGATTCCACCACTGGGAACGGGAATGACCTGGACTGAATTTTGTTGCCCTACTGTTGCAGCTTGCAATTGTAATTCCGAATTCATGGAAGACATCTGTGATGACGGGACAGGGCGGTGCTACTGTAAGTACAACTATGCCGGAGAGACCTGCGAGAGCTGTGCCCTGGGATACTACGACTTCCCGAACTGTTACTGTAAGTACGAGTGAAACAAAGGTTCCCTTTACCCTTCGCGAGGCTTCTTGTTGTTGCACGAGGTAGAGCCAGTTATTCACATAAATTGGGATTGGCCTGATTGCAGATAAGCGGACAGTTCAGATAATTGGCTACAGTGCTAACTAAAAATGTGTTCCATCAGTTCTCTCTCTCTCTGAGCTCCATTCACCACAATAGCTCGTGGCCTTGTACATTGAGTAGTGGCTCAGCCACTTACACTGGGGACTCCTGGTTCTGTTGCTGCAGTAACCCCAGGTGACCCCATTAAAGGGTTCAAGCTGCCTGTTGTGCAGGAATGCTAATGCTTGGCAGTTTGCCCCTGGCATCTCTGCTTTGCTTTGTGTTGGGAAGATTGATGATTTCAGGAAGGATTGCACCTTGCTCACACCCAGAGGCTGTTTCCTTGCCCAATGTGATTGATTTCAAACAAAAAAATCTTTTAAGGTATTTGATACTTATTGCACTCCCAAACACCAGATCGCAGCCAAGAGAGCTGTCTTAATTTAATTTGGAGTAGAGGTACAGATCAGTTATGATCTATAAAATGGTGGAACAGGCTTAAGGGGCTGAATGGCCTCCTCCTGTTGCTATGTTCCTATGAGCAAGAGCTCTGAACTCAAGTAACATTATTCTATAACCAGCCTGTGAGCAACACCAAAGGTCTTATCCTGCAAGAACATTTTGCCTTAAAATTTCAGATCACCCAAGATTGCTGAAAATTCCTCATTTCAATCTTCACTCTGGCTTATAATTGAAGATTTTTCTACAATTCGACGGCAGGTTAAATTGTGGGATAAAAACAGTTTCAAAATGGAGTTTGGATTTGTTCATTCCCTTCCCCTCCCTCCCTCCCTCTGGGAGGTTTATGGCTGTCTCTGTGCAGTATGTATGCATTTTATCCATGTTCACCCATCACCTGTTTCTTTTGAGTTGCAATAAAAAAACAATTGCCCCAGGCAGTCAACAACAATAGTCCAATAAAACCCGGTCAAGAACCAGTCTCTGGTTCACGGTTTGGTCTGAACAGTCAAATGTGTTTTTATTTCTTGATCAGAATTGCACGGAACTCAACTCAATATTTTCTGTTTGTTCAAACAGCATTGCCAGTGGATCCCATTCAATCAACAGAGCTACAGAACAATGTGGGGAAAATAATTAGTAAGTCACTCTGGTTTTAACCTGCCTTCAATTCTTTGTAGTTATGCTGCATTATTGAGTATCAGCTTCACGAATGCAATGTATTTGACAGTAGGTTAGACAGTCAGAGTGCTCGGTTGTGGTATTAGGCAGATAGCTCCCATGATTGAAGAGGCAAAGTGATTACATTGAGAGGAAGGGTCGAGTCTTGAATGCATTGTAGTCTCTCTCTCTCTCTCTCTCGCTTTTCCTGTCACTGAGGGAGGACTTGGTGCAGAAAGGATCTTCTTTACATAAGGTCCTCCTTCACTTTTGTCCATGTGGATTAAATGAACACCAGCATTAATTCAAGGAACATTTAAGGAAATACTGCAAATTTTAACCCCGTCGTGTATTCGGTCATGGGACGCAGTGACTTATTTTGAATGTGAGTTTCTGCTGATGGTGGAGCTGGACTTTCTCATTACCTTAGACTGTGACTGCAACTCGGCGGGAACTGAGAACAACAATTGCCAACCTGACCTGCACACGGGACGCTGTAACTGCAAACCCAACTTCACAGGACGCTTCTGTACCCAGTGTGTGCCTCAGCATTTCGGTGCTAATTGCCAGCGTAAGTCTCTCCCATTATATCCTATTAAGATTAAATGCAGAATGACAACAACAAATGACATAGATCTTTTGGGAAATAATATCTTGGGATATAGTATATAGTTTGGGACATGACATGTGACTGCCAGATGTGTGCTGTGCTCAGGGTTTGAAACACGCACTCCTGTGTTTTTGTTTGCAGCTTGTCGCTGCTCAGGCCCAGGGATTGCTGATGGGGCCTGTAATGAAGAGACTGGACAGTGCTTTTGTCGACAGGGGTTTGAAGGTTTCTACTGTGACCTTTGTGTCCCAGGCTACTTCAACTACCCGCTGTGCCAACGTGAGTCACAACAACACACCGACTGCCCATTGCCCAGCATGCAGGAACTGAAGGGCAGAAATTCCTGAGTCTAAATTTACTGTATTTTCTTAACGATTCAGTGTGTTTAAAATTTGGCCAATTCTTAAAACAGCCTTCATTGAAAGCCATTTTTCTGTAATCAAGACTTCAAAGTGATGGCTGAATGCACTCATTTGCCAAATCCTGGAATGTGCAGCAATAGAATTAATCTAAACCCGGGGGAATTTGGTACCCGTGTCTGCTTTCCAGTTTGTAGCAATCTGTAGAAATTTGTAAACACTTGAATGTGACCTTCATTAAGTTGGATCTAAGTTTGATCTTAGTTTAATAATCCTTGCATTTGATTTAGTGCCTCATCACATCAATATTGTCTCAAAAGGGTTTTACAAGATATACTGTAGTTTTAATTGTAATAATAATAAAATGAAAACATTTTGTAAAAAAATAAACAAAACACACACGTTGCAACATGCAAAATCACCCAGGAAAACTGTAGGAACAGAAAAGCGATTGTTAATTATTTTGTGGGACAATTGTGAATTTGGGAAAGGAACTGTATATTTCTACCTATAAAAGACTTATTTTCATTAGTGATAATAACTTAAGTTCAGGATTGACAGATGATGAGTTTGGAAAGGCAAGAAGGGGATATTTCCTTCCCTGGTCTCAGGCCAGTCACATTCTCATCCTCGTCAATGCTGCACAATTTGTTATTATTTTCTTTCCCCCAGTGTGTAGCTGCAGCATGACGGGGAGCCTACCCGAGGTGTGTGACCCCTCAGGACAGTGCTTGTGCAAAGCAGAGTTTGATGGAGCACGTTGTGACCAATGCCAAGTGGGCTTCCACTCCTACCCACACTGCCACGGTGCGTACACTTCACAGCAGAATAGATCACGGCTGATCTGTACCTCAACTCCATTTTTGCTCCTTTGCTCCGTATCCCTTGATACCCCGAACTAACAAACATCTACCCCACCTCAGTCTGGACAATGTGAATGGATCCATCATCCATCGCCTTTTGGGGAAAGAGAGCTCCAGATTTCCACTATCCTTTGGGTGAAAAAGTGCCTCCTAAATGACCTAGCTCTATTTATGGGCGTTTCGCCCACAAATATAGACAATTCACTGTACCTCCTCAACATCGCATGGCTCCGCCACTGTCTCACTCCACAGGCCAAAACCCTCATACATGCTTTCATACACTGAGGCTCAACTATGCAAACTCCCTGCTTGTCGGCCTCCCCAACTTCTCTCCATAGGCTGCGGATCATCCAGAACTCTGCAGCCCATGTCCTCTCCCGCACCAGGCTCCGTGACTCTAACACCCCCATCCTCACCCAACCCCACTGGCTTCCCATCACATAGAGGATACAGTTCAAGATCCTGGTCCTCACCATAAAACTCTCCACGGTCTTGCTCCCCACTACCTCTGCGAGCTCCTAACCCCCTACCATTCTGCTCGCTCCCTCCACTCACCGGGCTCCGGCCTGCTTAACGTCCCGCCTTGCTCGCTCCACTGGTGGCAGGCAGGCCTTATGTCACTCTGCCCCACCCTCTGGAATTCCATCCCGCAGTCCCTCTGCCTCGCCTCCTTCAAGATCTATCTCAAGACCCTCCTCTTCGACCCTGCTTTCGATCTCCCTGCTACACCCTAACCCCCACCCTCCCCAATCCCGACCCCCAGTTCAGGTCCGTAACTGTCTGTCTAACGCTTTGGGACGTCCTCCCAATGTGAAAAGCGCTATGTCAAATACAACAATTATAAGAATTAATATAAGATGGTGCTTTGTCCTGGATTTTAGACGCAGTCTTCATTTGCGCCCCCGCATGACTTGAGCTTATTCTTGCCTCTTGTGTAGCTTGTTCCTGTGACCCTCGAGGATCGGTGGACAATGTGTGTGGATCTACCGGCCAATGCCAGTGTCAGCACAGCTACTCGGGCCTGACCTGCAACCAGTGTGGTCCAGGTTACTTCGGACATCCCAGCTGCACACGTAATTACATAACTAATTAATCCTTTTCTCTGGTTTGTTAATTACATAACAGGGCTCCTGGAAATCCCTCCTTAAACATGCATCCACGTGTGGTTTACACGTGGCGCACAAGATTTTCAATGGGATGAGACAAAGGCCCCAGTGTGGTCAGTGACTGCTGTCAATGCCATACATACAGCTGCCTCTTATCAGTCCTAGGAATTGTGCCCTTACAGGGTAGCAGTAACTCCTCAGTAATGATGAGATCCCTTCAGTATTTTGGGGGGTGTACAAGAACCTTCGAAAACATAACAATCCCGTCCCGTGTCCTTAAAGGCGAGATCAGATGGCAATCTTCAAGCCACGTTTAATCCAATCACTGGTGCAACAAGGAAACAATGAGGTACTACACAAGGGTTTAAATCCGGGTTGAGATTCCTTGCTTACAGGAGAGCAGTGTCTAGCCACACACCAGGATGTCTTTCTTTAACCAGATTGTAATAAACTCCTAGAACAAGTTGCTAGGAACGTTCTATACTTCTTATCAATGTGTTATATCCACTGCTTTTAATGCAAGTCAAACCTACTGTGTGTGTGTTAGTCTATTGGAAGGCAGGCTGTGTTCAGCCGTGTGTTGTGATTAAGTGTCTGGCTTATGTATTGCAGCGTGTCGGTGTAATGTAGAGGGTTCATACATCAACACTTGTGACCCGGAGACAGGGAGGTGCAGCTGTCGGCCCTTTGTGACTGGGCTGCATTGTGACACATGTGTCCCTGGAGCTTATGGCTTTCCTAACTGTCGAGGTGAGGGATGTGGATTTAAGACCTTTATGTGAGAATCTCTGATTACTCAGCGTCTATTTCAGTTTTGACTCCCCTTTAGGTCGGGTTTGAGTTGATCTGATGGGGGACAACACACACACGATTAACAAACCCTTTTGCAAAGCTCACGAATTAGACCTGACTTCCCCCATCTATATCCTCATCAGTTGTCTATTCTGCCTGTGGAACTCCATCCTGGATTCCTTTCTCAATACAAACAACCATGGATGGAGTTATGCAGTGGGAAAGGACTCTGGGATGGAGTTGTGCAGTAGGAAGGGTCTCCGGGACGGAGTTACGCAGTGGGAAGGGACTCCGGGATGGAGTTGTGCATTGGGTATGGACTCCGGGATGGAGTTACGCAGTGGGAAAGGACTCCGGGATGGAGTTGTGCATTGGGTATGGACTCCGGGATGGGTTTGTACAGTGAGAAAGGACTCCGGGATGGAGTTATGCAGTGGGAAGAGACTCTGGGATGGAGTTGTGCATTGGGAAAGGGCTCCAAGATGGA